AAAAGTGCCAAGTTGAATAGCTATAGTAGTTTGTATTAAGTAAGTGTAAATGTTAATAAAGAGTGTGATTATATGAATAACTTGTAGTTTGGTCTTCTAGATAATTAAACCAGAGTGGCTGTTTGCCTTTAGAAATTTTATTTATACATGTAGATATATGTTTCCAGTCTAAAAGACATAAGTTATCAAATGTAGTTAGTTGATCTAAGTAGAGAATATAGTGGTATCTAAGTTGTTATTTAAAAGTTGAATATTTTAAATATGATAAAAGTAATAATTCAAATAAAATAGATTCTTCTTGAATGGTATATAAAATATTATATAATGGGTTAAATGAAAATGTAATATCAAGATGATTAAAAAGTTGGATAATTTTAAAGTTAACAGTATGTTTGTTAGGCTTATCAATGATAGGATTATTATATATCAGAATACTAGTAGACAGTGCTGACCTATGACTTAAGTCATATTATTTTTTTGATATGACCATAGTCATATAACCATATGACCTATAGTCATATGATCATAAGGTCATAAATTATGACTAAAGGTTATATGACTCATATAACCTAGGTTATATGACCAAGTGTCATAGGTCATAAACTTTTAGCCAATTAAAATTATGCATTTGTACAACTATAGAAGTTAATTTATTGTCTATCTTAATACAGAAGTTAATTTATTATCTATTACCACATATAATTTTTAATACGTATAACTTTTATGAGTTTAGTTGTTTTGTAGCATAATTTTAAACTTTTGTATAATATAACTTGATAGATCCTGTTAAGCTAAAACAAAGTTTTAAATAATAACAATAGTTCTGACTAAAGTCTTTGATAAGCTTATCATTATCAGACACTTTTGGAATGTAATATTAAATATTTTATGCATTTGTTGATACTTGCACTTTTTTTTCATACGATATATGTTATTTCATAACATTGAGATGTTCTGATTAATAATTTTATGAAGTCATATTTTTATATTCTGTTTTTAGTGAGTGATTTTTTTTTTTTGTTACAGTAATTTGTTACATATTAAGAAAATTAAATATTGACACAATTCATACTCTCAGAAATTAGCAGAGCTGTTAATAAAAATTTTATTATATTGAGAGTTTTCTTAAACTATAAAGCTTTGTGCTTAACTTACTGCACTACATTGAAGGTTTACAGTACTATTGTATAGCAAGAATTTAAAAAAGAGCATCAGCATACTTTTTTTGTTATAAGCCATATAATTTGAATTTAGATTTTATTTTATTTATTTCATTATTATACCTTCTCATAATTTTAGAAACTATTTTATTTTAAAAAAGAATCCAAGTAATCTAACAAATGCTCTCGCTATATGTAAATGGTATATATGTAAACATGAATTAAGTATAGCTCAACTGAAACCAGAATGTTATACAGTTAACAGAGCATGTTTGTGCCATAGTCATTTATCAAAATGTGAAGCTTTTTATAAAACTAATACTAAAGAAGAAGTACAAAGAATTTTAGCTTTAACAGTGTTAGAAGATAATAAAAAGCGAAAAAAAAATTAGTTAGAAATCGATGGTAATATTATCATAGTTTTCAAAATGATTGAAAATACAAATAAAATTTTTTTCTCATACACTCGTATTTAAGTGTATGAGTGTATGTCAAAAAATAAAATATTTATTTGTTATTTTCAACTATTTTGAAAACCATAATAAATTTTTTAGGCTATGAAAGTTATAATTTAATTTATATATAATACTGAGTAATTTCAAACCAATTTAATGTAGATGAAGAATCTGATACTAATGAATCTTTAAATTTATGGGCCAATTCAGTTATTTCAACTACTTCAAATCATTCAGTTATTTCAACTGCTTTAAGTCACTCATCCACAAACAGTTGACAATTTGCAATTACAAATTTTATTTGTCGACCTCTTTCAGTTAATGACCAATTATGATTTGAGCAATTGCTTTTAAGAATGGTTGTTTCTAATGTGTTGCTCTTTACATTTGTTGAAAATGAAGATACCATTGCTGTATTTAAGTTTTTAGCACCAGGAATTAAATTACCAAAGCTAAAGGTTATAGGTGGCAAAGTGTTAATGAAAAGTGCTCAATTGTTGCAAAATAATATTATTAAAATCACCAAGAATGATACGTATGGTGTAACTGCAACATTTGACACCTGGACAAATGTGAAACAAGAGCATATTTTGAAAGTAGTTTTTATAACTACAGAAGGACAATCTTTAATCTGAGATGCTTATGATATTAGTCTAGAAAGATTGCAAACACAAAATATAATCAATCATATTGAGCAGCTAATAACTAAAGAGAAAAAAATAAATAAATATCAAGGCACTAGTTTCAGACTCTGCTGGCGAATATGCATCAGCATGATAAATCTTATCTATTTTTATTTAATTTCTTCTTGATTATGTACTATTTTAATTTTTCCTTTTTTTGTAGTTGACAATTACAAAGAAAATACTCTTTAAAAGTTTTTTTACTGTGCATGGCTTATCAAATGAATTTAGTATTCAGTGATATTTTTAAAAAATCTGCTCAATACCAAAAAATTTCTAAAGAAGCAATAAGAATTGTAAGTTTTTTTCGCAAGTCCTTTTTTTTTTATGAGAAATTTTAGAGATGAACAAATGCGAATTTATAAGAAACCTGTTACATTAATAATGCCTGGAGATACAAGATGGAATTCTTATTATTTTTGTTTTCATTCTATTTTAAAAACAAAATCTGCTCTTAAGGTATCTTTTTATTTTGAGTAATTTAATAATTAATATCGATATTACCAAACCATTTATCAAATTTCTTTATTTAGAAGAATGCAATTAAAATTAGCAAAGATTATAGATAAATCACTCTTTTAACATTTTTTATTAGTGCATCAAAACAAAAATTTTGGTTAATATATATAGATCTCTCAAACAAGAAAATTGAAATACAGTTTAGTAATATTAATCAAAACTATTTTTAATATTTATTAGCAAAGTATATTGTAATATTATAGATATTTTTAAACATTATTTTATATTATTTTATTGATATTATATTAGTTTTATATTA